TTGCAACACGCAATTATTCCAAACTAGGATAAAAAGTCATAAATTCCCAGTTGAACATTAACACTTACCAGCTACAAGTATGGCCATTAAAATGACAATGTTTGGCGTCATTTATATTAATTTACTCACTCTGCTTGCAACTGCCACGCCCACTTGACAGGCAAGAAAGAGAGATAAGCGAAGCATTATGCAAATTGCAATGGAAAAACCACAAGGCCCCGAAGCGACACCTAATAATGAATACTAATTCGCTCATTAACGCTCTGACACGTTGCGAGAAAACATTTATTCTACTTTTAGTTGTTGGCTTTAAAGCCAAAAAGTCTTCACGTGTGAGTTTGTGACGTATGAATTATTAAAATTAATTAAATGAGATTTTGTTTTTGGTTTATTTTTTGTGTTGTTTTTGGGCAAAGTGCAAATGAAGTTGAATGTGGCTAATCAGGTGCCTTCAGGCTGAAACAAGAGTTTACGACTGAGTGTGTGGCATGAGATAATTAAGAATTTAATTATTTAGACACAAACACAGGAACAACGAACAGGCACATACATTTATTAGCCTAGACACAAAACACAACACACGCTTGTTTAGAGGGTCTTTAGAACTGATTTGATGTCAACTCTGTAAAGAAGTTGGGAGAAGTTTCTTAGAGCATGGCAGGCCGCATGCAATATTCATAATTCCTCATGCACATAAAACCTGTGGGCGGAGCAGGCAGGCTATGCGTTGCAGTTGTCGAGTCCAGCTACAACTGTGTTTGCCTTGGGGCTTAAACGTACGTTCGGAGTTTGGTGCCCATTTTATTTGTTTGCTGTCATCGTTTGCTTAATTGAGGGTGTTGCCTTGCTGTGTGTTTGGCTGTTTATTGAACCGGGCAGGGAAAGACTCACAGTCACATTCAGTCACACGTCTCTCGATCTGCCACATGCAGCACCATTTAATTATGTACACAAGAGCTTGGCCAGCATTTGGCTCAGGTTTTGTTGTGTTTCTGATTTTAGTGTTGCTGCCTTTTGCTTTCACTTGTGGCAGCAACTAAAAATGCTTTAACTGCCTGTCAACAAGTTGCTGACAAATGAGCCAGCCCAAGCTGTTACTCACGGTCAAGAGGCTCTTAAATAAAAATAAAACTCAGTTTAATGATGGTACATTTTTTGTAAGTTTACGAACTTATAGAGTTTAATCTTGCCCAAGTATGCTGGCAGAATGCCAGAATATGTAAACAAGGCACTGACAAGCAAGAGTTTTATTATATCTTTGAAAAAATCAAACTTTTCTTTGATGTCCTTTTCAAATGGAAATTTTTAAGTATTTGCTTGAGAACTACCTCTAGCTGTTGTTCCTTTGACAGATTATTAAGAAAATTCTGAAATATTTCAAATAGTTGAACATTGTAACCAAAATATTTGCTCCATTTAAAGAAAAGAACGAATTTTTCTTTACGTTTATCATTTGTGCTCTTATTGCATTTTGTTGCTATACAAGCCATCTGCAAATTAAGTAATATATATTTTTTTGTACTCATCCGGAAATCATAAAGATTAGGTGTGTAATAGCACGCGGTTTGTTGTACGTGTGCCAATGCGTTGTGATCACGTATTCGCCCGTGCCAATGGGCACCGGCAGGTTAAAGGTCTTATCGAGGCGCAAGCGATCGACTATCACATCGTGCTAGATAGCAAAAGCTTTAGTATTATAAATTTATTGGCCATATATTCTCGAACTACTCACATTGTAGGGACATGAATGATTCAGGTTCGAATGGAATTCGAGCCGCAGGAACTTGTAGACGGCATCGGCAATGGGATTGCGCCTGTTGCTCTGCATGAAAATGCAGCCATCTATGTTGTAGCTGTAAAATGGTAGCTTGAAGCGACGCCTGATATCACCGCGTATCTGCAGATCGAAAAGATATAGATATATAAATACTGTCTATATGGACAGATATATAAGCACCTACTGTTACATTTGTCACGGGCAATTGCAGCAATTTGACAGCTACCGATACCTCCTTGACGTCGCGATTGTACGCCTTTATAATGCAGTTCTGAAAAACAAGATAGCTCGGATCGACGATGAGGCATTCCAAGCCCGTCAATTTTATGAACGCCGCCAAAGTGGGCGTGGCAAGCAGTGAGAATGCCACGCACAATATCTGCATTGAACAAGTGAACCGCATTTCACGAAAAGGTTGACTGATCATCTCCACACCCAACTGCCACCTAGTTTACATCCGCTTTTCGCTATTGTTGCTATTTATTTGTTTTGAATTATATTCAACCGGCTGATTAAAAGTTTCGATAAAGTGCCCATTAAAATGTTTAAATAAATAGGCAATTAAATTGCTTTTAATTTTGCAGAATGTATGACAGGCACAGAAGAAGATAACTTCGACAGTGGACACTCCTGTTAGGCGGACATTCCACACATTTTGTTTCTTAACATCATAACTCAGGCTGCTTTCACTCTGTACTAGGCGGACTCTCCGCCCAAGAGAGTGCTCACAGCATAGATAGGATTAAAGTTAGTGAAAAGGGTATTTAATATTCAGCACGCTCCATAAATAGCTAATAGGAAAGATATTGTTAATACTTTCATTTTAACCCATTTTCTTTTCCGACATTTTGGTTTTAAATATTTCAAAGAATCTCTAGGCCTGCATGGAGAGAAAAAGTCGAGAAACTTGTACTTAAATACCCGTAAGACTCATTAAAAAAAAATTAACTCAACTTTATCTTTATCTTCGACTTATTATAAAAGAAAAGACGTCGTAGGTTGAGCCCAAGCAGCTCTGGAAAACAAACCCCATTTGAAATTAGGGCCAGTTATTTTTAAGTCAAAATTTAAGCCCATATTGAACTTGAAAGATATAAATAATTGAGTTCCATCACATGCTAAATTGTGAGCAATTTTTCCAGGATCTCATTTGGACCATTTACAACGCGCACTAAATCCAGAATATATTTTAAAGCGCAGTATACGTCCAAATTTCCAATTGACTAAGCGGCCAACTCATTATTATTATTATTCCATATATATATAAAAATATTAAATACTATGTAAATGAAGCCCAATCAAGTAAAATCAAGTAAATCGATCAAAATGTATTCCCTAATAACCAAAACATATTATAATCGGGCATATATTTTGTTACGCATGACTTCCATCAATTTGTATTTTGTCAAATGAACTATCATAACAGTTATATTTGCCGATTTGTATACTTGGTATATATATCTATATATAGCTGAAATCCTTGTTGCCTTATATTATCTCAATGTTAACATTGACTTTGGCACGCAGGACATTGTACGCAAGCCAATAGGATTTGATCGTGAATTCGCCCAGGCCGATGGGCAGCGGCAAATAGAAGGTCTCGTCTAGTCGCATGTGATCCAAAATAATATCGTGCTGTAATAAATAGGACCTATAGCATTAATTTAAGTTAATTTAGTTGGGCTCACGCACATCGAAGGGACACGTATGATTCATGTTCGAATACATGTCAAAGCGCAGGAACTTGTAGAGAGCATTGGCAACGGGATTGCGATTTTCAGACTCCAAAAAGCGGCAGGCATCCACATTGAAGGTGTATAACGGCGGCTTGAAGAAGCCGCGTCGCATGATTTCTGCACGAATCTGCCGTGGAATATGGTTGTATATAGATATATATATAAAAATATAGATTTATATGAGATGCACCTACCGTTATGTTAGTCACCGGTGTTTGCAGCAATTTAATAACTACGGAAACATCCTTGACATCACGACCTATCGGCTTCATAATGCAGCTCTGGACGACAACAAATGCCGGATCCTCGGCCAGACAGTCAAGTGCCTTAAACCTAATGTGTGAACTCCGTGTGGGTGTGGCAAGCACAGCAACAAGAAGCAAAACTATAAACATTGTTTCCATAAGGAAATCAGGGCTCGATTCACCAACCAACTGGACGGCAGCTCTACCAACTAAACAATAGACTAAAGTACCTCATTAGCTTGTTGCTAAATAACAGTTGATGCTAGTTTTTTCAACAATCAAATTGAAATTATAAATTAAGGTTAATTGTGGCAAAATAATTATTTATTTCTAATTGTGCACAGTTTTGCGAGAGCGAGTTCTGCTGCTCAGAAAGAATTCTGTTCGAATTGGGCATATAACATAATATGCAGGCTTCATTAAACAGTTGTAAGCTTGCGAATGTGAGCCTTATTCAATTTGCAAATTCCAGCTGACAATGGCGCGCAGAATATTGTAGGCTTTACAATGGAGCGTAATCACATATTCACCCACTGCGATGGGCAGGTTTAGATTGAGATTCTCGTCGACTCGCAGGTGATCCACAATTAAATCCGTCTAAAAACTAATAATTATTATACCCATTCACTCAATTACGAAAGAACTCACATTGTAGGGACACGAGTGATTGATATTGGTGAAGACGTCCAGGCGCAAGGACTTGTATATGCTGCTGGCAATAGGATTGCGGCGTTTACCTAGCCAAAATCGGCAGCCATCGATATCGCCAGCGTATAACATGTGCTTTATATAGCCACGGCGCGTCACTTCAAAGTGTATCTGCAGAAACATTAATAGGCTGCTGGGCTCTACTTGAATCGTAACCTACCGATACATTATTCACCGGCAGCTGCAGCAATATGATCTTTCCGTTGATTTCCTTGATGCCTCGACTCACTGGTTTTATTATGCAATTCTCGAAGGCACAAAACTTCGGATCCACCACTTGACATTCAAGTCCTGTTAACTTGAAGCGCACGCTGTCCGTGGGCGTGGCAGCCAGAAAAAGCAGCAGCAATATTTTAAACATGCTCTTAGTCGAGACTTGAAGTTAGCTTTTTTACTACAGAACTGGGACTAAAGCTTGGATATTGTTTGAATTTGAATTTAATGGAAGCCAGACTGATATTGTGGATATTTATTTACTGGAAAATAATGAGAGTTGCGCCTAAAAACGATCTAGATAAAATTAAATACACCAAATTAAAAGCAAATGCGTTTTAATGGCTGTTCAATACCAAAATATACACAAGCGAGAGGCGCTAATCGGGAAATGCCGACTAGGGAATACCCTGAACCCTTTTCTTCCAACACCGACACTCTAAGCCTTATTCGATTTGAAAATTCCAGCTAATAATTGCGCGCAGAACATTATGGACCTTCCAATGGAGCTTAATCACATATTCACCCACAGCGATGGGCAGGTTTAGATTGAGATTCTCGTCGAGTCGCAGGTGATTCACAATTAAATCGTGCTGAAAACCCATTATTATTATACCCATTCACTCAATTACGAAAGAACTCACATTGTAGGGACACGAGTGATTGATATTGGTAAAGACGTCCAGGCGCAAGGACTTGTAAATGCTGCTGGCAAAAGGATTGCGGCGTTTACCTATCCAAAACCGGCAGCCATCGATATCGACGGCGTATAACATGTGCTTTATATAGCCGCGGCGCGTCAGTTGAAGGCGTATCTGCGGAGAGCTCTCCCCCGCTGTACATAAATAGCCTGCTAGGTTTTTACTAGAATGTATACATACCGATATATTATTCACCGGCACCTGCAGCAATATGATCTTTCCGTTGATTTCCTTGATGCCTCGACTCACTGGTTTTATTATACAATTCTCGAAGGCACAAAACTTCGGATCCACCACTTGACATTCAAGTCCTGTTAACGTAAAGCGCACGCTGTCCGTGGGCGTGGCAGCCAGAAAAAGCAGCAGAAATATTTTAAACATGCTCGTAGCCGAACCCCGAAGTTGGCTTTTGCAGTACAGAACTGAGACTAAAGCTTGGATATTGCTTTTATTAGAATATAATCTGGACTTTTAAGCGATATTGTGGATGTTTATTAATTGAAATTTAATGAGAGCTGCCCCCAAAAACGATGTAGATAAAATTAAATAATACAAATTAAAAGCAAATAGTTATGCTTGTTCAAAACTACTCAATGCCCCAAATATTAATATATGCTATGAAAGCACAATTCTGTTTAAATGTATATAGAAAAAATCATTAAGTTGACATACAAATAATTAAACAAAATGAAACAATATAAGAAGCTGTTGGTAAATGTTTATTGAATGATATCACGCAGCTAATAATTTTAAAGCTGAGTTTGTTAAAATATTCTTAAGAACAGAATATAAGATCCTACTATTCTACGATTGGCTAAGATATCTTGGTAACAAACAAGTTTTTTTATCAAAGCACCGATTGTTCCTATGGCTGCTGCATTATATAATGACCGGGTCCGGCCGGTTCCAGCCTATGTTTCGCCAGCAACAGAAAGATAAACCTATGCAAAGTTTCAAGACAATATCTCGACAATGGAGACAGACATACGGACAGACGTAGGAACAGACGAACAGTCGCACAAGGCCATATAGAATATAGGCTTGATCATGGCTATAGCATATATATATATACTTGGTTAGGATCCAAGATGTTTCCTTGTATGCGTTATCTAGTATATTAATACTAAATATCTTGTATATTTATTTGTTTATATGTATTTATCTCATATTACGAGGGTTTTCCTTTGGTTACTTAAACTCTCTTTCCCCCTCTCTCTGTCTCGCTCTCTCTCTCTCTCTTACCATTTCTTCTCGCTATAACTTGTTGCCAAAAATTGGTTCAACTGCTGCTGACAGACGTGGCTGACATTATTGTTATTGCCCAGCGTCAAAGTCAAAATTAAAAACGCGAATGACAAAAACAAACTTGTGCCGCCGTCCTCCGTCCTCCCCCCTGACAGACGCGCCCCTTCACAATTTGGGCGCGTGAAAAAACGCGCAACGCATCAGCAGGGACGACGGCAACAACAACAATAACAACAACAACAGCAGCAGCAACAGGAACAATGCTGCCATAAATAACAAAGGCAAATGTTGCGACACACTCGTGAAGGGGCGGCTGCTAGGCAGGGACGGACAGGTGCGGCCAGGCGGGGGGTGACTTGTGCTAGCTTGTGGCACTGTCACTGCAGGCTGGGTGAATGTGCCGTTAGAAGCGCAGCAACAGCAACATGACAACAGCAAACACACACCGTAAAAAGGGGGCGCGCCTGGCCAGGGGGACGCCCCTGTCAGGCAAGAAAATATTTACAATCAAGTCGATTAACAAAAGGAAACCTTCTGACGCGCACTTTGAGCTCTGCTTTTTATGGCGCTCTTCTAGCTCTGCTTCTTGTTGCTTTTTTAATTAAAAATCAGTAAGCCCACGCAGCCAAGCGCCCCTCTAGACTGGCTGCCTTCGCCCCGACTGGCGCCCAAAGACGACTGTCATCAGCGCCATTTTGCAAATCAACGCAATGATTGCGCCTCCTTGTTTTGTCATCACATTTCATACAACAACAAGAAAATATATTTTTCATAAATATAACGGGACTTTGGGCTGGCAGGCGGCACTTGAGACTTTCGCCACATTTCCCCAGCAGCAGCAACAACAACAACAAAAACAATTCAGAAGCAGCCGCAGCGGCGGCAGCAACAGCAGCGGGAGAACATCATCATTAGGGCCGCCCACGCAGGAAACTCGAAAAAACTGAGCGACAGGCGCTGCCTCTTTGAGCTGGTTGCAATTGTTACGGCTCCCCGTTGCTATTGCCACAGCTCCAACTCCCACTCCACTCCACCTCTCACTCAAACTCCAGCTCCTCTGTTAACGCTCGCTGCTTATTGTCTTAAGAGGAAGTCGCTTTCATATAGCTGGGGATTGGTTGAGGGCTTCGCATATGGCACATTGTGGCATGGCTGTCGAGCGGATATAACGGTAGAGAGATTCAAAATAAATAACTGTGAATGACGCACCATGGTGTCAAATGCAGCTAACAATTGCAAATAGAACTCTTGGAAATAATAAAAAACACACTTTTGAGGTACATAGATTTGAGAGTTGCCTTGAACTAAGCTCTTCTGCTTCTGGTATACATGAGCTACTGCGGAAGTCTGTTAAATTGACAATAAATATAAATATTGACAAGCTGGCTAAGCTACTGTCGGCTCTTTTATAACTTGAATTGTATCTTCGTGCCCAATTACATTCCTAAATTCAATTTAAGAATTTTGCATATTTTTTCAATCACAGTTTTTGCTTAGATTTACTCCACAGTGCCTGCCATTCAGCGCTTAACAATTGCTGCAGCTTTATTCTGCCAGCCTGGCACCCGCCACCCGCCACCCTCTCGCCCACTTGCACTTCAATTTCCCATTCTTATTATATTTTTATACAATTTTTCACTTTATGACTTTCGCGTTGTTTATGCAAATAAGCGCCAAATGCTATTTGAATTTAGCGAAAAAAGAATTATGGTAACGCGATTGTCAACGTCCCGTTTCGCCCAGCCGCCATTTCGTAATACTGAGCTGCGAGCACCGTTATGATTATGACAGTTAGAACGAACGCATGGCAGGAGCTGCTGACGCCATGTTGTGCAGTTGCCAGCAGCAAGAACACAACACAAAACAAAACAAAAAATGTAAATAACACATCGAGTGCGAGCGGCTGCACATAACGAAAGTAAGTGCCCTGTTACAGACGCTGTCTCGCTCGCACTTGCCTGCTAGGCGCGCACACGTGCAGGCAACAACAAGCCACACAACGGTTGTTGCTGCTGCGCTGCTGCTGCTGCTGCTGCTGCTGTTGTTTTTACAAAGTGTAAATTGTTTTAATACTTTTTAGTGCTTTATGACGCCATCTTGGCAGCGATACGCGCCGCGCTGCCTGGCATCAGCTGCGCCCAAGTGCGCCGCATCTGACTCCTGACACCGACTCTCACTCTCTCTTTTGTACTCTCCCACACACACACACACACACACACTCGTGCACTCTGAGTGCAGAGTACACGTGTAGAGCGCACGTTAAAATCTCAACTTTTACGACCTTTGCAGCGGCGTCGCAGTCGCTGGGGACATTCGCCGTGTCGTTTGTTTTACAAGTTTTATTTTTTTCTGTGTTTTTTTTTTTTTTTTTTTGGAATGTTTCATGTGACGTTGACTCTTACCTGTTGCCCTGCCCGCTTGCTGCACTTAGCACAAATGGCAATTGTCAGAGATTCTGCACGTAATCCCTCCCCCGCCGGCCCAGGCCCCTTTCATATAACTGCCAACTACATTTGGCTGACATTCCAACTGCCAACTTCCAACTGCCAACTGGCAACTGCGTGTCGCAGTTTTAATCAAAATTGTTTCGTTTTGCGCATTTCACTTCATGAATTGTTCAGTTGTAACTGTCAAATAAAGTTTTGACGCACTTTTCTTCTTCTTGCTGTTGCTGTTGGGGGCGTGTTTTTGACACTGCAATGCTGGTAATTAAAATACTTTTGCATGAGCTTTTGTTTATTTTGTTGTTTCCATTTTGTTCGCAATTAGTTGCACATTTTTGTATCATTAACCCTCCGCAAGCCGCAACCCGCTCTTTTGGCTACGCCTCTGTGCATATATTTAACTTTGAACAGCGCATTCTAATTTATTTGCTTTTTGGCATATTTTGTTCTCGTTACAGTCTGGCAAACAATTTGTGAAACATTTACAGTGCTGGCCAGCAAAATGGAGACCCCTATTGGCGAATTCTAAATGTAAGTTGAAAAAGTTAATAAACAAAATTGGTGAAAATATTTTTGGGCGCATTAATTCAACTGATTTAACATGATGCGCTGCATGTTTAGAAAGTCGGAAAAACATTTGCAGCAAATTTCACTCGTCAGCATTTTAAGCTGTCAATCAAGAGTGAAATTCGAGCTTTGATTTTCTTTAGCCACCCGAAATGCAACCCTTCCGGCTTAGCCACATACTAATGCCGGCGACTGTGGCGCGCCGCTAATGCGTCAACAATAATAACAACAAAGGCTCGCGGGCTTTAGCTCAAACTCGAGCTCAGTCATAATCGTTAAGTGCTCAGTTCCGCTGCCGCTGCTCTGCTCTGAAATGGGTCAGTCACTAAAGTGCTTGAAATGTGTCAAATGGCCTGCGGCCAATCAGGCAACCAGTAGCGCCTGGCTCTGACTGCAGCTCACACCAGTAGCTTGTTAATAAGCGCACAGAATGCGGCCACAAATCACAAAGTCACTCAAAAAAGAAAAACCGCTCAAAATGCGGCAAACCATGCCTGCTACCCTCCACTCACACTCACACTCGCTTAACAGCGGCAGCCGGCACCTGTTATGCGCAATGCTGCACTTGCTCAGCGTATAAGAGAGAGCGCGGAGCGAGCGCTGATCGTGTGGTGAGTTCACGCCGGCGTTCAGCAGCTGTGTTGAGTTTGACCTGCATCAACCTCGCTCTCTCTCTGCTCTGTTGAACTCTCTGCTGCTGCTCGTTCAGCTCAAATAACTTTCTACGCACGCGCAGCCGCTTCAGTTGTGAACGCGACTTCAAGGCGCACGGTTCGCATGACGCTTGATACAATTGAGCGCGGTTTTTGTTGTGGTTTTTGCAAATCGCGCGCGTGTCTTTGCCCATAGTCGGGAATTGATATATTGAGCGAAATCTCATTGATTTTACGCACGTAATTAGAACAAACGGATTGGCCGTTAATTGCAGTGGACAGTAATTGCTGTGCAGCCTGCATACCAGTCCAACGGTGTCTCGTTAATGTGTCAATTGGCGATTTGTGATTGACGCGTCACGGCGAGCAGGTGTGCGTGTACCTGGGTGTGTGTGTGTGTGTGTGTGCGTGTGTGTGACATGTGCTAATTGGCAACAGCTCCAATTTTGCCCAAACATGTCGAAGCTGCTCGCAAAGAAGCGCTGGTGGAAAATCTGCCTGCCACACACGCAAAACGATGCCACAAAAAACTATCGCGAGATTATAATGCACAGCGAATGCGGCTCGGTGCTGGCCATCACCGACACCAGCAGCAGCAACAGCAGCAGCACCAGCGCCAGCAGCGGCTCGCCCAGCGACAGCGTCTCGAAGAACTCCCAGCCGGATGCGGGCAAGTTGTTTCCACGCAATATGCCCAGCATAAGGCGCAGCCGGCGACGCTCCGCCGAACGCCGACCGGAACCAGCTGCAGCGCCAACGCCAGCTCCAGCTCTAGCTGCAGCGGCCACTCTGTCTGTGCCCGCCCAGCAGCCGCAGCGCAGCGCCCATCAGTCGCGCCAATCGACAGTGGCCAAATTGACGCCGCGCAAGCTGAAGACGAACTGCTCCAAGCAGCGCGCGCTGCCCAGCGCCGGCTACCCGATCAAGGCTGCCGTCAAGACCAAAACTAAGCCCAAGCAGCTGACGCTGGCGCCCTATGACATAGCGCTGGAGCTGCCGGCGCCCAGCTGCCCGCTGACCGAGGGCACGCCCAGCCTGGCGCGGGCGCTGCACTCGCAGCAGTCGAGTCTGATAAGCAGCGATTTGTCCGGCGACAATGTGCCCGTCAAGCTGCAGGAGGAGCACTTTCATTCCTCGGGCATATCCTGCAATGGCGAGACGGATGACGATGTCGAGGTGGCCATGCTCACGGGTAGCCTCAGTCCAGCGCAGCTGCAGCGCCTGCAGCAGCAGCAGAAGCGAACCATGCCCACTTTGCCCACTCTGCCGCGACATTTGCCCCTCAACGAGCTACGCAATTTGAATGTTTGTCGGAATCGGAGCACCGTTTGGCTGCACAATGCGGACACGGAGCAGCTGCTGGGCGGTGGGCGTGGCAGCAGCAGCAGCAGCAGCAGAGGGCAGTCCAATACCGAAGCGGGCTGCTACTTAAATGCGGCCATTGCCGATGATATGCAATTAAGCGATATTGAAGAACAATTGGCCAAGTTTGATGGCCAGCAACAACAGCAACAACATGGCAAAGCTGCCAAAACGTGAGTTCAAGTTTTCGAGAGCACTTAGAAAGCATCCGCGCCTATCGCAATGCCCATAATTCTACCCAAGAAAACCCAGACCCAAAATCAGACAGGTGGTTGCGAGGGGCAGGGGGAGCATCACCTAATTGGAGCGGCAACAGCCAAAAACTAATTCGAAATGCGTTTGACGCGTTTTACATTCCCAATTTGATGGGCGACCTGTGGGAATAGCAAATGGAATTAATGAGCAAGAGGAGAGACAAAGACAGATAGAGAGAGACCCCGTCTAATGGGCCAGTTCATATGGAGCATTTTATGGGCTAGTTTAATGGTTGTTTAATAGCTTTATATGGACGCCGCTCTGAATGCTCGTTAAGCGCTTCAACCAAACGCCGAAGTGTTGAGAGTTTTGTGCCACAATCCAACCGTGCTCTAATGTCCGGAAAGTTGTGGGCTCAAGGAATGCGTACGTTTTTATAGACATTTGAAAGTTTATTGATGCCTAATTTGGAGTCATAATTTTATATCTTTCGAATTACTCAATTCCCAAACAATGAAAACTAATTGATACCAGCTATTTTGCATGGCTGTAAAAGGCAGTTTTTGCTGTCAAACTTAAAGAAAACCCGGTCCTGGAACTTGTTTAAATTATTCTGTATTAAGACATATAAAATACCTCTAAGTATGCAACTTAAAATTGAACACTTTGTGCCTACTTTGGTTTGAATTCACACACAAATGAAGTTCACATTTTGATTGCTTAAAATTCTCAAATGGTTCAAGCGCGCGCTGCTTAACTACTCCCTAATAAGTCCTGCTCATGTTAGCAAAGCTTCTCGTTTTGCTCTCTAAATTTTTTTTATGTATTTTTGATATTTGTTTTCGTTATTTTATCTCGGTTTTATTTCATAATTGTGTGCTTGTTTTATTTTATAAACTGAATTTTTCGTCAGGAGCCATTGGCGAATCGTTTCCACGAAAGCATTTCCAATTTCCCCTTTGTTCCACTGCAAAGCGCGGATTTAAACTTGGAAATATTTCTGTTTGTATGAACTGATGCCAGAGGAGACGACGGTTCGAACTTGATCGCCAGTTAAATAATGTGTTTAAAATCTCGTTATTTGAATGTATTTTGCCTTTTCATTTTCGTTATGGTTGTTATAATAGGATTTTTTATTGGACTTAAATACATATTGGGAATGTGACAATATTTTGCTTATCCTGCAACCAAAAAGACTCCATTTGCATCTATTGTTAAATTGGAATATTTTTTGGGCAAACTATAAATTTCTTAATTTATTGAACATTACTCGAGAATTTAAATCCCTCACCTACCAGAGCTTCGGACTCGTTCATTTGGGTTCCTCTTAACTATATTGGGTTTATCGTATTTCGTTTTGATCTTTAAGATCAGTCCGCCAACTAAAGGATCGTGGATTATTTAATTATATCGGAGATTTAACTTCTGGACTTTTGTGTAAGGCATTAACCGTGCTGAAGGCTAACCTATACGCCGTCCAGTCCGATGGGAATATGTGTCGTGAGACGAACACATTTCCAGTTCAAATGAACTGCTAAGAAAATATTAAATTACTGCTTGCTGCTGCTTTCCAGTTGAATCAGTCAAACATAATATTGACTGCGGCTACTTAAAACGTAGCTAAAAACGGGGGAAGGCACGGCTGGCAGATACGGCACAGCCTTTTGCCAAACTCGAATGCCAAATGTATTAAAATAACAAAGTTAAACAAAGTAGAAACGGGCACAGCTTTAATTTTTGTTATTTATAACAAGTAGCGCTTGTTTTTGCAAGCTTTGACAAGTCGATTTTTATGTTGTAAAAGTATTTCTTTCATATATATAATCGGTTTTATGTGTTTTATATATTACTATCATGCAAATTATATAAAATATATATTTCTATATCTATTCGCTTAATTGAACGACGTGTGACCCTCGACGTGTCTTATCGATTAACAAATAAATCGAACATTAATTTTGAAGTATGCGAAATTTCTATAGAGAAAAGTATTTGCTGCTTCGAATTGTTAAACGGGAGAGCTCTAAAAAATGTCTATATATAAAATAAATAAATGCTTCACACTTCTTTATATGATTATTTGGTTATTCATATTCAACTCTAAATTAGTGTGCCAAGGGATCTGGCGAATTTCCATCAGCCCAAAAGTAGCCAATATTCAAATTCAAATATCTCTTCCCTTTGAAAAATATACACAATATATGTACCATGTCTTAATTTTGGATACGGAAAACAGTTGATGGCAATTAGAAAGCGGAGCTCAGCTTCACATTGCCCGGGTGGTCCCGGCTAGGCTTATCGTTTCACAATTTGCTTGGATTTAAAGGAGAAAAATAAATGGAGGCAAGCATTTGATTTTAATTGCATTCGATGTGAGCGCCAAAAGCTCTGCCATGATATATAGCCATTTAATTGAAGTGGCAATGGCCAGAGAGACGCAAGAGGGTGGATGGGGGGAAAGGCAAGAGGCAAGAGGCGTTGCCAAGTCTTGATTTTGCAGTCGTATCAAATGGCCGGCCCCTGAAAAAAGAAGCGTAACGCAAATAGTTTTTTGTAATTAATTTTTTCATTCATTTATTTTCTCCTCTTCAAACGGGAGGCGTTTTATGCAATTTCTTCAAATGTCCAAACGGCAATGGGCGTGGCCCTTGCCAACTGTCTTCCCATTTATCAGAGGTGATTGGCGGCTCTTCAGCAGGAGCAGGCGCAGGCACAACAAGAAATTAATTACGCGTATTTCATAATAAAGCTAAAACAGAAAAGCCAAAGCTGAACCCGCGAATTGGGCTCAACGTCTAATGTGATTGTCATTGCTGTTGTTATTTTGGGCCAGGTGTTGTGTGTGTGTGTGTGTGTGTGTTGAGGAGAACCCGTAAGATACATTAGCTAAACAAAGTTTTGATTGATTTTGTTGGCTGCGAGAAAATTGAATTTGAAAAACGCGCAAATCAAATTCACTCGAGCAGCAACAAACAATAATTGGCCAAAAGAATATTACAATAAAATGTGTTGATAAAATCAAAGCGGAAAAACCACAAATAAAATTAGCGTAAAACCAAAATCCAAGACGGGGCCAAGACGGAGCCAAGAGCGGGCTTTATTGACGTGTATTTTTCTTCTATTTCTTCATTTATTTCGTCATCTTTTTTGTTACCTCATATAGACGTGATTTTTGTATTGACGTATGTTTTCTGTTCTTTGATTGTTGTAAATTTATAAAACCACCATGTTCAGCCATTTCGTTGCCTCGACTGGCGATGGATGGGGTCAGTCGTGGGTCGTGGCCCATCTGAAAGTATCTACAACTGTGCGTTAAAGTATCTCTATCTGTACACTTTATATTTGCTGCGGTCTTTTGTAAGTTTCTGCTTAAACCAATTCAATCTTTTCTGCTGTATGTGTTTTGTGTATTTCTTATTTAATTGAAATTTAAGCTGAAGCTTGAAAGGCGCAAATTAATTAATTTAATGGCCATCATTTTGTAATACAAAAGCCAAAGGCGGCGGAGTGTGGGCTATTGAATGACCTTAAATGTGTATATTGTGAATACCCTGTATATGTATACCCTGTGTATTTGGCAATTAAACTTTTATTTTGAGTATTTACCGATGTCCTTTTACGTTTATATTTGATAATTTATTTTATGAACTCGCAACAAAGATTTCTTGCTGAAACTGAAATCAACTTTCCCATTTTATTTTATTTGAATTTGTTTTAAATTTCTAGTTTTTCAAAAACTGTTTCACTTTAGTTATAGACGAGACATACAAAATTTGAGGCTTTACAAGGAATGCTTTACCTTCAAAAAAATTAATGTTTCTGGTTTTTACATTTGAGCAACATTTTGTCTTGTATTAATTCAAGCACACCTAATCATTCAAATCTCTTGCATTACTTTAATTCTGTTTATAAGGATTATAAGGGTTGTATAGCCTTATAGATGGAAAAATTCATACAATATTTAACTTTGCTAATTTGTAATTTTTATTGCCTTTATTTATTCCAAGAAACTTAAAAATATTGTCCAAATCATTCTTCAACTATTTAATTGTTCGCAATTCATGTCTGGTTTTGTATGGCTTCTGAATTTAAGAATTTACACAATATTTAATTTTGCTAATTTATAAATTCTGGAATGGTAGCTGCTGTAGTTCTGCAAGAGGAGTGCTGCCTGGGCGCCGTCCGATGGTGAAGATGGACCCTAGATGTAACTAGATGCTTGAAAGGCAAGATTTGGGACCAAGTGCTTGGAACGCAAGGTAACTGAGGAAATTACAAATGAGCACGAGCAACTAGGGGTCAAGGTGCGGGATGAACAACGTATAGTTGGAGTAAGGATTGTTTCGAAATGATGAAATTTTTCGCAGAGCTAAAATTAAGAAAACCCCTATTCAATAAAATATTTTGACTAAGCTACAAAACGTTAGGACAACGTTTATTTTCTTAAAGAAATAAAATTAAACAAAGTTAGGGTATATTAAAATGCTGTGTGCCCACACTTAGGAGGCGCCCGCTGCCCACGTAAATTGTTGTCTAAATTCAAAGTGTTTCTGGGCTTTGTTGCCCAAATTCAACTTACGGCCAAAAAATTGCCGGCTACAATTGTGGCAATAATTACAACAATTAACTGAAAATAATTGCAGACGGTAAATTGTTTTGCCCGCGAGCCACAAATTGATTTGTCATTGCTTTTAAAACTCCACTCGAACCGCATGGATCTATGAATTTATGAAACTATGAAAGTAGCTCGTTTAGAAATTCATGCTAATTCTGCGACTCTCACCGAAAAATCGAGCACAAATTTCTGATAAACTAATTTAAAGCGTATTTTATTCTTATATTTGTGTGTGTTTTTTTTTTTTTGTGAAAGTGTCCAAGCGAAACCCGCCGCCCGCACAGCTTTGGCAGCTACTTCGTCTCGTGTTTGGTAGCCAAAGAGATCTTGAGTTGAAAATCGTGATTTTCTTGAAATATTTCT